CTCTGTTAGCCCTATCTTCAGACCAGAGAAGGTCTCCCCAAGAAGCCACTGAACTTATCTGGACAATAAGACGCTGGACTTTATGCTAGGTATGTGTTTGCAAGCAATGAATCTCAACTGAACTTGAACTATGGTTATGCAACAAGGTGGAGGAATCCACCATGGGGGGAGGGGTATGGGAGAGGTGGGGGGAATCCCCAGTGCCTATAAAACTGTATCACATAATACAATGTTAACAACAATAAAAAAAAAAATAAAAATCCTCATCTTGAATGCACCGGGATCCCATAAGAGCGCTAGTTCTAATCCCGGCAGCCCTGCTTCCCACCCAGCTCCCTGCTTGTGGCATGGGAAAGCAGTTGAGGACAGCCCAAAGCCTTGGGACCCTGCACCTGCATGGAAGACCTGGAGGAAGTTTCTGGCTCCCTGGGTTTGGATCGGTGCAGCATTGGCGGTTGCGGTCACTTGGGTAGTGAATCATTGGACGGAAGATCTTCCTCTCTGTATATCTGACTTTGCAACTTTGCAATAAAAATAAATAAACCTTAAGTAAAAAGAAGCGGAACAGCTCAAACATGGAATAGCATCCACATGGCATGTTGCCAATAAAGGAGGTGGCCTTATACACTAAACGCAATGTCAACTCCTATATTGTTTTAAATTCAAAGCGAAGTAGCTATATTTCACAAACAAAACAGATGAAGTTTCCAACTGACCTTTGTGGTTATTTGTAGAGTGAGAATTGGACTGGGGAATATGATGTGAATAACTATGTCCTTGAGTGAAGGGAATGAGTTGATAGGCAGTCACTCCAACATCAGTGGAATGCTGAAGATGAGAGATCAAAGAAAGAAAGGAGACAGGAAGTCATGAGGACATGGTACTTCAGAAAGTTTATGGAAATTGAATTGAAAAGAGAAGCTTTTGTTAATGTGAAATATTTTCAAATCTGCATAATCTCATAATAGGCATTTTATGATCTTTTTTTATTTTTTATTTTTTTTAAAGATTTATTTTTATTATTTTTTCATTGGAAAGGCGGATATACAGAGAGGAGAGACAGAGAGGAAGATCTTCCGTCCGATGATTCACTCCCCAAGTGAGCGCAACGGGCCGATACTATGCCGATCCGAAGCCAGGAGCCTCTTCCGGGTCTCTCACGTGGGTGCAGGTTCCCAAAGCTTTGGGCCGTCCTCTACTGCTTTCCCAGGCCACAGGCAGGGAGCTGGAAGGGAAGCGGGGCTGCCAGGGATTAGAACCGGCGCCCATATGGGATCCCGGGGGGGGGGGGCAAGGCGAGGACCTTTAACCACTTGCGCCACCGCGCCGGGCCCAGCATTTTATGATCTTTTAAAATAACTTAGCAGACTGAAAATTTTAAAGATTTATTTATTTATTTATTTATTGGAAAGTCAGATATACAGAGAGGAAGATCTTCCATCTGATGATTGACTCCCCAAGTGGCCACAATGGCTGGAGCTGAGCCAATCTGAAGCCAGGAGTGAGGAGCCTCTTCCGGGCCTCCCACGCGGGTGCAGGTTCCCAAAGCCTTGAGCCGTCCTCGACTGCTTTCCCAGGCCACAAGTAGGGAGATGGATGGGAAATGGGGCCTCCAGGACACGAACCAAAGCCCATACGGGATCCTGGTGTGTTCAAGTTGAGGACTTTAGCCACTAGGTTATCACGCCAGGCCCTCATTAACGTTTTTGTGTATTTCAGTTTCTTCCAGGTTTCCCATATAGATAGCAGGCATAGATATCCAAGTACTTTACATCACAATAATTAAATCTCTTAATTCAACTCTTCACAGTTTTTAAAATAATTTATTTTTAATTGAAAAGCAGATTTACATAGAGAAGAGACAGAGAGAGAAGGCGCTTTCATCCACCGCTTTCATCACTCCCCACATAGCCACAATGGTCAGAGATGAGCTGCTGAGCTGCCAGGAGCCAGGAATCAGGAGCCTCTTTTAGTCTCCCACCTGGTTGCAGCGGTCAACGCCTTATGCCATCCTCTGCTTCTTTACTAAGCCATAATCAGGGAGCTGGATGGAGCATTCAGGACGCCACCTGGCGCCCATGTGGGATTCCAGCCCTTCCAGGTGGAGGATTAGCCTATTGAGCCACCATACCAGCCCCTTTCACAAACTTTTGTTAATTAACTTTTGTTAATAACTCAACTTTCAGGACTCCAAGGAAAAGCTTGGGTCATTTTTGGTTATGGTTTCTACTTCTGAAGATATAAGAAAACTATTAATGTGATGTCAGGAAATTATTACACAGGACCTATGTCTATTGCTACGTAACTTGCTACAAACAAGGCAATCTAATAAGGAGCTTAAAGTCTCCTTACAAAAGTAAAATGAGGCTTTGAACATTTTCTAGGTCATTCGACAAGGACAATATCACCCAGATAATGAAAACTGAAAACAACATAACCAAAAAAAAACAAAACAAAATATAGATCAATGACCAAAACATGTTACAAATAGATGCAGAATTTGTCAACAAAAACCAGCAAGGTGATTACAGCAATATATAAAAGAATTATGGCAATAGCACGGTAGCCTAGTGGCTAAAGTCCTCATTTTGCCTGCACCAGGAACCCATATGGGCACCAGTTCTAATCCTGGAAGCCCCGCTTCCCTTCCAGCTCCCCGCTTGTGGCCTGGGAAAGCAGTCGAGGACGCCCCAAAACCTTGGATGCTGCACCCGTTTGGGAGACCTGGAAGAGGCCCCGAACTCCTGGCTTCAGACCAGCTCAGTTTTGGCCATTGTGGCTGCTTGGGGAGTGAATCAGAGGACAGAAGATCTTCCTCTCTGTCTCTCTTCCTCTCTATATATCTGACTTTCCAATAAAAATAAATAAATCTTTAAAAAATTATACATCTTCAAGTGTGATTTGTCTGAAGCACATAAAGTTGGTTTATATGATAAAATCAATTATAATCATGTAACATTGATATCAGTAATACAGTAACATACCATGTCAGGAAAAATATGATTATTTCAATAAGTGCAGAAGACTTGATAAAACTGAACAATTTTTCAAAATAAAAAATTAGCACATTAGGAATAGATTGTGACATCTTCAAGCTGATGAAGGACATCCACAAAAAATCCTAGAGTAATGATAACACTTACCAGTGAAAAACCGAGAACTGAGTCCAAGATGGGGAACAAAAGAAGGATGTCAGATCCTCTTATTTATCTTAGTTTAGATATTGTAAATGAAGCAATTACGTAAGAAAAAACAAACAAAATGAATCAAGACTTGAAAGGATATAAACCTATATGTACTTAAAAAAAAAGATTATTTTTATTTGAAAGGCAGATCAGAGTTACAGGGAGGGAGAGACACAAAGATCTTCTGGTTCACTCGCCAACTGCCCACAATGGCGAGAGCTGAGCCAATCTGAAGCCAGGAGCCAGGAGCTTCTTCTGGGTCTCCCACATGGGCACAGGATTACAATGCTTTGGGCCGTCCTCTGTTGCTTTTCTGAGCCATAAGCAGCAGGCTGAATGGGAACTGGAACAGCTCTGGCCTTTATGGCCATTTTGGGAGGGACTCAGCAGACGGAAAATCTTTTTTTTTTTTTTTTAATTTTTTTTTATTGTTGTTCACATTGTATTATGCGATACAGTTTTATAGGCACTGGGGATTCCCCCCACCCCTCCCATTCCCCTCCCCAAAAAATCTTTTGTCTCTTTCTCTCTCTCTCTCAAATTAGCCTTTCAAATTTAAAAAAAAAAAAATTAAAGAAAGCTTCATTCTCTAAATCAAGGCACTTTTCAACGTAACAACTTGGTAAAAAAAAAATGTCAAAAAAATTTTTTTTAAATGAGAATGCTCATTAAGATCACGTGATCCAACTTTGAGGCAGTTGGAAGACATTCTGTCAAGCTAAAAGTCTTGTATAACTCCGATGAGTCAGTGCTCCCAGCCTACTTTATTATCCTTGGTAACGCTATTTAATTCTTCGATTATTCCAGCTCTTTTGGCATGTGTTGGCAGCAGGATTAAATTAGGGATTCGGTTTATGCTGTAAGAATATGACAGAGCCAAGCCCAGAAAGGTCAGGAACTGGTTTGTAAGGGTGGATTGTTTTGAATCTTTGATTAGCTGCTGTCAACAGAGTAAATGCTAATGGATGAAGGGATTGGCCGATTGGGTAAGTATTAATTCAATACTTGAACCATGTAAATAACAGTACAGAAAGGTACAGGAACGGGAGCTGTAAAGGAAGAAAAAAAATCTGTCTTCTGTCATGCCATTTAGTTGAGCTTCTTCCTTTATTACATTCAATATTTCAGGTATTATTAGATTCATAAAAGAGGCGATGCCGAACAGGTGACCACATTGTTGTTGTCAAAAGCGGCACTGCATAACTAAGATGTAAGCAGCTGAAGCGGGGCTTGGTCAGGGTCGGGGCGCTGAGGATGCCTCCACGTCGGCGTGCTCACGTGCCCGGCTACCTACAGCATTTGCACGGAGCGCGCAGCAGCCGCGCTCTGCACCAGGCATTCCACACGCCAGGAGCCGCAAGTCCCAGAATCCCACCGGGACTCCAAATCCCAGAAATCCGCATGCCAAGCTATCCCGGAGGCCAAGTCGGCTCCCCGCAGACGCGACCAAGGTGGGACCCTGGGGTGAGCGGCCGTCGTTCTGGGGCTCCACCGCTGTTCCCGGAGCAAGCAGCGTCGACGGAAGCACGGGCGCGATGCCGTTGTCACAAGCCTCTCCGAAACGCTCCGTCCTGGGCTGCTGGACTCGGGGGCCAGAGACTCCCGCTTCCTCTCCCCCCATCGCCACCCCCGGCCGGTGGTTCGGCCCGGAATGCGGGCGTCGGGAGCGAGCCGGGTGGGCGGGCCCGAGGCGGGCGGGCGCGCGGGGCCCGGGCGGCGGTGGCGGCCGCGGGCGGTGGGAGGAGCCGCGCGGTTCCGGGGCCGGGCCGGCCGGTCGGCGAGGCGGCGCCGCGGGCGAGGCGGGCAGGTAGGCGGCGGTCCCGCTCGGCGCCCGGCGGGGTCCCCGCAGCTCGGCCGCGGAGGGAGGCGATGCCGACCCAGAGAGACAGCGGCACCATGTCCCACACGGTCGCGGGCGGCGGCGGCGGCGACCATTCTCACCAGGTCCGAGTGAAGGCTTACTACCGCGGGTGAGTGTCCCGGAGCGCGGTCGGGGCGGGAGGCGAGGGCATGGCCGGCTGCCTCGGCCTGGAGAGGGCGGGCTGGGAGGCTCGGAGGTGCTGGGGCTGCGCGGGAGGCTGCGAGGACGGCGGCGTGGGGGTGCCCGAGCCGGGGGCGGAGCCTGGGGCGCGGGAGGGGAGCACCCCAGGTGTGCAGCACCCCAGCCGGGGGCGCCAGGAGGGGAGCACCCCAGGTGTGCAGCACCCCAGGTGTGCAGCACCCCAGCCGGGGGCGCCGGGAGGGGAGCACCCCAGGTGTGCAGCACCCCAGCCGGGGGCGCCGGGAGGGGAGCACCCCAGGTGTGCAGCACCCCAGCCTGGGGGGCGCCGGGAGGAGCCTCGGGCTCGGGGTGGGGTGCACCTGGTGGAGGAGAGCGGCTAGTCTGGTGGGAGGTTTGCAAGGGCCTTCGGTCATTCGATCTGGGTGAATTTGGGGTTGAGCGTTGATGATGCCTCGTTGGCTAAGTTTGCCACGGACTGGAAGACGGGACTGCCGCCGGTAATTGGCCCCTCTGATGGCCAGCAGGCCCCAAATCTCTGGTTCTTTGAGTTAGGTTGCTCCTCACCGCCCAGAGAAGTTCACAAAAGTGTATCTGGATTCAGGTTAGGCATGAGTTAGGTTTAGATGTAAAGTAAATGATTTTTCAGCATTGTTCCTTGAGTATTTAGGGCTCGCCTACAATGATTTGCATCAGTGCAAGTTAAAAAAATTTGTGACCCTCTTTGTCAGTGCTGTTTTAAGGACCATCCAATAGTGTGAGCATTGCAAGTAAGAAGAGGAGGAGGCCCGGCCTTAAATTCTGTGATCTGATATTTTTACCTAAGTTAATAACTTCTGTGGTTACTGCAGGCAGTCCAGCCCCAAGGTCATTGTGTTAAATTCATACTCTGTCATCAGTCGTTCAAAATGTCTCCCTCTGAATTCGCTAGTGGTTTGAAATCTCATCCAAAAATAATGTGTAGAGGCATTAAAAAGGCAACATGTTTTGATGAGCATACATGTTTGAGATTTAGGGGTTAACAGCAAAGCCAAGTGCTTTGGCTGGCTCACTGCTTGCCCGGGCAGAAGTAAATTGCTGAAAAAAATCTCAAGCACTACAAGGTTGGAACCGCAATGCATGCCTTCTCATTCTTGAGAGGATCAGTGGAGATAGCAAACCTTCAAACTGATTACAAAGAAACTAGAAGCCTGTAATTTTCTGATGGATTCTGGCTGGCACGGATCTGCGGGGCTTTGTTTAGGAGCTCGCCTGGGTTCAGGAGTATTTTAGAAGAGTTTGAAATAGGATTATAACTGCTTTTACTTCAACCTGGGAGGACTCAATCAAGGAGGTTTTGATTTTAACAGTACCAAGAAATGTTTGGATGTGTCCAAGTTTGTAGTTGTCACAAGAGTTATCCTAATTAGTTTCATGATTTTGAACTTTTGAAAGGTGAGATAAACGCATCTCCTGCACATTTTATTATCTTTCCTGTAATTTGATACTTTGCTGTCTGTTCCATCTCAGAAAGTTGACAGTCCTTGAGTTAAGTGTGGAGAATGAAATATAATAGGTGTTCTTTATTATTTATTTATTTATTAGGGTGTCTGAGTGTTGGCAGTTTAACTAGATTTATAAATCAGTACGTGCAGGGGCTGGCATTTTGGGCTAAGCTGCCATTCAGTGCCAACACCATGTAATCTGGTCTTTGCTACTCAGTTTTGCCCATCCAGTTCCCTGCTCATGTGCCTGGGAAAGCGGCTGTTGATGTTCCAGGTTCTTGGGCCCCTGCCATCCATGTGGGAGACCTGGAGGGAGATTGAAGCTTCTGGCTTGTGCTGACCCAGCTATGCCATCTGGGGAGTTAACCAATGAATGCAATCTTTCTCTCTGCCTCTCCCTCTGTCACTCTGCCTTCCAAACAAATAAATAAGTCTTAAAAGAAAATGCATGTTCATGGCAGGCAAGGGCAGAGTGTCCCATTCCGTTTCCCCAGTAATCAAAGGTTCTTCCAGAAGTTATGTGTGCTTTTTTTTTTTTCTTTATTTAAACTTTAAAGGTTGAGTTCCTGTGGTTTGTCAACCTAGGTAGTATTTATTGGTTGATTTCACTGACAATGAGAAATTCACTCGCTGTGAACTGTTTCCTCACAGCGTCTCTCACTTTTTAAAAATTTAACTATGATTTTTAGTTCCGTGGGCTACATTTGCAATTCTTAATAATATGAATTCTTGACTTAGGTAATCTCCCATAACTTTATGTAAGGTGAAGAAATTAGTACTTAGTCCTATTTTCTCCATTTTTTTGTTAGTGTATGTGTAAATTGACCCACTTAGTAAATTGAAAGCATTGTAAATACCTTTGGGAAGAAAGGCACCTCCGTCTGCTTCAGAAATATAGATGCTTTATTGCTTCAGGTATGAAAATGGAAAGAATAACAGTATACTTATATTTTTCAAGTATCTGGCATAATTTTCTTTTAAGTCATTCATTTGAACATTGTTTTCAGATTTAGAAAATTTTGCTAAGACACAAGTCACCCCATGCCCTTTAGTGCTTTAGAGTCCATGAAAAACTTCATTTTTAAAAACATCAGACTCTAACCTTTACCAAGTTCTGCCCTTTGAAATCCTAACAACTTCTGTTATGATTACATGTTTATTAGCAATAGTCTAAGCTAATGGTGGTGGTATTATACAGCCAGCTACTTATTAATATGGGTGAGACTAAAATGAGTCACCAAGGTTAATAAACAGGTTGGCTGAGTAGAATTTGACTTTAAAAAATACAAAATCCTTCCTTATACCAAGAAATGTAATAGCAGTTTGCATTTGAATCTGCTTTTGCTTCCCTTGTATCTTCCAAATGACGTTTGTCATATAGTTTCCCTCTACCTGCTTCTGACTATAGTTCTTTCCAGTGGATGTTGGAATAACAAGAAGTTTCTAGTGAATAAATTGCTATCTTTATTCAAAGATGTATGCAGTGTTCTTATTCTGCTGAATTGGATCTTGGTGAAAACATTTTTCCCCCTAGCTGTGCAACAGACATTTCGTTTGCTTGCTTTTCCCCCTAGTTTTTAAGTAGGAGATGTGTAGTCCTGAGACTCTGATTTTACTGGAGACCACCAGAGAGGGCTGGTCTCAACTCCTGGGTCCTTCTTTCCCCAGCATTGGAGCCTTCCTTGAGACTTGCTTTCCTCAGACGTTACCTAATGGTGTTTAGAAGAAGAGAAACAGGTTTTGTTGGTTTGTGATTGATTGCCATTGTATGTGCTTTTCCTTATATGAAGTTATTTCATATCACAGCCAAAATTTTAGTAAGACTGTCTGAGTTATTCGTATATATATGTCAGGATTTTGTAAGAAGTTGATAAAAATACGTTTTAAGTCACTGCTGTTGAAAAGTGTTAACAACTTGGAGGATTCCTTCTGTGCACATCTAGAAATAAGAGTTTTATTCTTAGCCTATTTGGAATGTATGAAGTGTGTAGGATCCTTCCTACTGTGGACAAGTCTTAGCAAGACTTGACTTTAAGAGCATTGCAAAATTATTTTAGCAGTGTACTTTTGGACTGGTTCTGAGGCAATACAAATAGAATCTTGAGTTAAGGTTTGGGAGAATGTTAGCTGACTAGTCCTAAGATTTCTGGTGTGATACTTAACCATAGGGCAACTGGTCTAAAGCTTGGTCCAAGACAGAAGAATAGGGCATGGTATGATGGTGACACACAGCTCCTGTTGTTTGTAGAGGGCATGGTGTGATGGTGGCACACAGCTCCTGGTGCTTGTAGAGGGCATGGTGTGATGGGGTACACAGCTCCTGTTGCTTGTGGAGGGCATGGTGTGATGGTGGCACACAGCTCCTGTTGCTTGTAGAGGGCATGGTGTGATGGGGTACACAGCTCTTGGTGCTTGTAGAGGGCATGGTGTGATGGTGGCACACAGCTCCTGTTGCTTGTAGAGGGCATGGTGTGATGGGGTACACAGCTCTTGGTGCTTGTAGAGGGCATGGTGTGATGGTGGCACACAGCTCCTGTTGCTTGTAGAGGGCATGGTGTGATGGTGGCGCACAGCTCCTGGTGCTTGTAGAGGGCATGGTGTGATGGTGGCACACAGCTCCTGGTGCTTGTAGAGGGCATGGTGTGATGGTGGCACACAGCTCCTGGTGCTTGTAGAGGGCATGGTGTGATGGTGGCACACAGCTCCTGTTGCTTGTAGAGGGCATGGGCACACTCGTGCTGTGGATGGGTGGCGCACAGCTCCTGGTGCTTGTAGAGGGCATGGTGTGATGGTGGCACACAGCTGTGCTTGAGGGCATGGTGTGCTGTGGTGGCACACACCTTTGCTGAAGGGCATGGTGTGATGGTGGCACACAGCTCCTGTGCTTGTAGAGGCATGGTGTGATGGCACACAGCTCCTGGTGCTTGTAGAGGGCATGGTGTGATGGTGGCACACAGCTCCTGTTGCTTGTAGAGGGCATGGTGTGATGGTGGCACACAGCTCCTGGTGCCTGTGGAGGGTGGATGCCTAAGCTTCTGGGCAGCAGGTGAGACCAGAGCTGACCATGTACAAGTGAGAGATCTGAAGAAACAGAAACCAAGGAAACAGTGGAGAGAGAAGTATCTCTGCATAGAATTCCTGCTGGGGAACCTAGGTTCTTGATTGTTTCCTTTTTTTTTTTTCCTTTTCCTTTCCTTTCCTTTCCTTCCTTCCTTGACTTATTTGTATTGGAAAGGCAGATTTACAGAGAAAAGGAGATACAGAGTGAAATGTCTTCTGTGTGCTGGTTTGCTCGTCAAGTGACTGCAAGGACCAGAACTGTGCCAATCTGAAGCCAGGAGCCAGGAGCTTCTTCCAGGTTTTCCATGCAGTTGCAGGTACCAAGGCTTTGGGCCATCCTTTACTGCTTTCCCAGGCCACAAGCAGGAAGCTGGATGGGAAGTGGAGCTGCCAGGACACAAACTGGTACCCATATGGGATCCCAGCG